TTAGATATTGGTTTTTCCTAGGGGAAAATGACTCGTTGTAAGTTCATAAGTATCTGTAAGTTTCACAAGTTCGCGTAAGTTCTCTTGAGTTCTATATACATTTTTGTAAGTTCGTCCAAGTTTTACGTAAGTTTCTATAGATTACTAGTAAGTTTTTCAACGTCAATTGAAAATCGCAGAATGTTGTAAATGGTAATAAATGTTAGTCATGTCTGATTCAATAGAAAATAATTTGTATAAATAAGTCGAGCAGGTTTTCGGTGAAAAAATACCAAGAAATATAAATTCGTCTAATTAGACGTCATTTTTGAAAGAGTCTGTTTTGATAGTGAATAATCAGTATTAAGTATGAGTGTTGAGAGCGATGCTTCAATATCAAAATCAGGTCTTTTAAGGATGATGTCCAATTTACTAATTGGATTGGTAATTTTTATTTTAAAATACGTTCTATTTTTTTGTCCAAATTATTTGCAGCGTGAGATGTAATTAAGAAAAGTTGACCAGCGTTGTGTCATTTGACTACTACATGTGCGACTGTTTCGGCATGTTGACGCATATCGAACTTACAGCAGTGTGTTAATGTATATGGACAAAGCGTAAGTTCGTAAAAATTCTCATAAGTAGCGTGCGATTTCATAAGTTCGTCTAAGTTTTTGTAAGTTTTTCGTACAATTCTATAGGTTTCGTCGAACTTATAAGTAGTCATTTGCCCCTAGGGGTTTTCATTTAGTTCACGCGAGATTTCGATTGCTTTATTCGTTGGCACTTATGTCATATGTACATGTATGCATTCTGCATATTCTAATAATTTTTCTAACATAGTACCATCCAAAGAGAAGCTTGTAAACATGCTGCCATTTTCAATGAAAATGAAACCAAATGACGATGAAAATTATGCGAAAAACAACAATGACGACGACGACGACAACGCGCGACGACGGCAACCACCAAATAAAATAAAAACTCGAAAGGCAAACGAGGTGAATTTGTGCGCCCATAAAAGAATGGATAAAATATTCATAAGGGTGAAAATGCACAAAATATATTTTATTCGAATTAAAAATAAACTAATATTTGAGCGAAGCATGGATTCGGAGTACAATGTTGTTTCAATAGTCAGTCGTAAGTGCACACATATTCATACTCGCGGTTCGGGAGAAAAAAAAACTTCAAATATGAATGAAGTATGTGAATTTCCGCTATTTCAACTCGAAGAAGGCGATGAACAAATGTACGAAAAATAATTGAAAAAAATAGAAGAAGAAGCAAAAAAATAATACAGAACAATTGCTTGCAAAGAATGAGTGAAGAAGTGCCGGAAATTAAGAATGCATAGCCTCGTTTGTGTACAACTTTATATCACAGATTGTATGTGTGTATATGTTGTATGTCCCCGATTTTTCAAATGCTCGGCATTCGGAACGCGCGCTTTTCTTCATGCATTTTCTTTATTTTCATTTATTTTACGATAAATATTAATAGTGCTAAGAAAACCACACCTTCAAGCATGTGTGGAAGACATCAGTGGCTGCTTCAAATGGTGCTTGCTTTGTGTAAATCTTATTCATTCGGCGCTGACACGACCAACGCTCAAGTGTATTGCATATATGTGCACGAATAATGTTATTGTGCCAGCGAAGGTGATATAAATGCACTTTTGGCTTTTGGTAAATTCAATGTCTTATAGATGTGCATATTAAAACGTCACACAGAAAAGCCACACACTTTACTTTCATTACACGATATCTCGATTTATTCTTCTTCTTCGCCTCTATTCTTATTCTATTCTTATTCGTTATTTTTGATCTTTGTGGAAATTAGTTGTGATTGTAAATTTAAAAAAAAAACATACGACGGCATGGTATGGTTTGCTTGTACAATACAGCGTGGATTAAATAAATCGGGCCAACATCGTGATTTAAGAGAATAATTTTCGTTATATAATTCGCATATTTTCCACAACGGTGTAGTATGGTTAAAGTATGCGACCGTTAAAAGTACGCAACGTCTTATAAAAATTTATTGCTAATATTATTGGATATTATAAACCATACGTTTCATTGGAAAAAAATGAACATAAAGTTTTTACAAAAAAAAATTGTCTGCAATACTTTTTCAATATATTATATAATATAAATACAGCAAGGAACTTTCAAATACGGCAAGTTGTAAATATTGCTGAATATATAAATATAAGAAAATTTGTGAATGTGTGTCGAACGATAGACAAGGATAAAAGAACATCAACATTTCAATCTATAAAATTCTCACGTTTAAAATACGAATTCAAATAAAAAAAATAACACCTTATGCCATCGAAAAACTAGCTCACATTTGTTGCGAACTTACACAACAACAAAAAGTCCTTCTTTGCTTACATCACTTTCTTAATGAAACGACCGAAACGAGTTGAAAACAATTGAATGAAATATTGCAGTGGCAATCCAACATGAAAAACGAAAAGTAAATGAACAAAAGAAATATATATATTGCAGAAATGCACCGATATAGAATGGTACGTGTGAAATTTCCGAAATAGAAATTCTTGGCGGTGCAAATGGCAATGAAATCATAACATATACACAATACATTTACAGAATATGGTCTCTTTGCATAAGAGGGACAACGACTAACGACCACTATATATACTGCCAATATCGCATTTTCTAACTTTAATGCAAACATCAATAAAATAACATAAAATGTAAATGTAATTAATGTTATATTAACAAACAGTCGAAATGACCTTTGTTTTGTGTGTTCGGACAGGAAACGCACCTGAATTTATTACATGATGCATACCACATTTGAATTTTACTTTTCAAGTATATTTTCCTACTTTCACACACACACACACACACCATGCATTTTAATGTTGAATTTACACTTTAATGTTCTTTAAATTGTTTCGTGGGTTTTTTCCCTGTTTTAAATTAATGTTTCAATGCTATCAGTGCTTTGAAAACGAAGAAAATTTGAGAATTGGCTGGAACATTTTTGAGTCTCTTTTAATTAGTTAAAATTGAAGCTCAGCATTTTGGGTAGTGTTCCTGTGTTCTTGTTTTTTTGACGGTGTTAAAATTTATTAATGTATTTCGTACGTTAGAAAGAAGGGGTTCTCGTTCCAAGTAATGTTTTTCACAAACAATTTTTTTTCGAAAGACGCTTTATTTCAAAGAATATGCTCATTAAACAAACATTAACAAGAAACATTTCCACTCCTTGTACATGATGTGACCGAGTCTTTATCGTGGTTATTATTTCATAATTCATTTGGATTTTTTTTATGAGTTCCATGTGGTGATGACGCCTTCATTAAAATGAATTTATGTGGAAAAAAATTAAGCTATTGAACCGAATTTGAACAGTGATCGATTGAAAATGACCAAAAAGTTATGGTACACTTTTTTGGACTTTGGGATACACTTTTTTTACAATCAGAAGTGAGAAAAATATTGGAATATGTATTTTTTTTTTGAAAATTCAAACATGACCAGTCAACGCAGACATCATTCGTGATGAATATTGGATGACAAAAGAGAAAAAGTTCATGAAAAACATAATCAAAGGTGTATAAGTGTGCTTGTGTGAATATAAAAAAAAGGACGACACACGGGCAGGACATCTTGCATTTCCTCATCGGCCATGCATGTATCAAACAACGTGGATAGAGACAAAAACAAAGTTTTTTCTTCTTTAAAACATAATACATTTAAATCGGTGTATTTTTTCGTTACTTATTTGTATTTAAAACATGTCATCATCCTTCTTCATCATATAGCAATAGATTTTTCATGAATACTTAATCCCTTGTTTTTTGTTTTTTTTTCTTCCTTCTTTTGTTTTAAATATGTTTAACTCGAATCACGACATCGTGAGAAATGTTTGAAACCGATTTTGATTGGACAAAATGAAAACTCACAAATATTATAACTTTTTGTATATAAAATGTAATAATAGATGTCAAAAATGAATAAATAGAATACATACATATTCAATATATTGAATTATGGCGCATGAAAGTAAAGGCGAGCGCATACCACATTTGCTAGACAACAAATACATTGTACTTGTGTGTATGAGCAACCCCAATTAGATAATGGTATGGTAAAATAATTGACTTATTATATGTGTAACATGAATGAGTTCAATAGAGAGAGAAAAAAGAAATATGTATCCTCCAACTCTGCACTATATGAATTGGACGTGGGTGAATATGGTAGAACGCACTATGATATTTGCGTGTATTTTTATAAATTCGAAAATGCAGCTACACTAATTCTAGAGAAGAAAAAAAAAACACATAAAACTAATTCCATGATATGAAATCGTCGAAAATATAATAGTCGACGTTACGTTTTAATTCCAACCATTTTACTAAATGGCTATTGGTGTCTTTTCTATTCCTCGTCCGATTTACGCTTACACCAAGTCTAAAACTGTTTATTCAAATCACAATTTCGATCACCAATTGATGAATTTTATTTTAATGATATTAAAATTGAACTAATTTAAAATTTAAAAGATAGTTTCGATTGTTTTTATCGGAAAGACTAACATTGCCGTCGTCATTTTGGTTGTTGAAAAGTTTAAGTTTTTTTTTAAGCTGTAATTAGATCGATAGTTCACATAGCAATTTTCTTCATTAGTAAAATATCCTATGTAGGGGAAAAAAATCATTGTTTGGCTTTCTTATATTGAAGTACTGTTGTTAACAAACATTTAATTCTTGTTTTTTTTTCGTTTTCTCAATGTAAATCTCTTGATTCTGTCCAATGGAAAGAGAACTATAATTACGATTTTATCGGAATATTTAACTAAAATGAATTACTCTTCAAATAAATGCCGGTTAAGTGGTATTTTAACTGATTTTTCTTCTAAATCAATACTTTTGACGATTCATTTACCAGAGGGTTCTTTTCATTTCCAAATGATTTGAATTAATTGTTCAACGGCAATCTTTTTTATTTTAAATTGAACGAACAAGAGTTAAAACTTACCCGTTCTTCTTCGCGAATCATTTCAGCAATTCCGGGCTTGATTTCCATATCTTCGGTAGTTGTGAGCGATACTAATGGATCAACGGATGACTGTGAAGTTATTGGAAATAGTGTTGTACTGATGTTAGTTGCGTGACGTCCAGCAGAAGACGGTGATATATTGTTCCGGCCTTTTTGCGTTACCGATGTTGATTGGGCGGCATTTGTATTTATTGCAAATTCACTTGCCGTCGCTGTATCTGAAGTATGGTACCATTTCACGTATTAATTTTTTTCGAAGAAAGCATTCAATTATATTGCGAGAGTGTATCAAAGTTTTGCAAAAAAAAAAAAATGTTTCCCTTACAAACATGTAAATCTTAAACTCGAAAAAATAATAGTAATGTTTTTGAGCTGTGAAAAACTTTTTTCGGAAAAGTTTTTTTTTAATCATTTATTCTGATATATTAAAATTTAATATAAAATTTTAACTCCGAATATATATAAAATATTCGAAATTTTGAATGAGAAACATTTTCGGGTAATTTGATTTTTCGCCGCAATTTGCTTTTACGTTTGGAAAAAAATTATTTGTTTAATTTGTTTGTGTGTGTTTTTTTACCGATTCTTGGACTGTCTGTTGAATGTCGATCGAATGTAGGCGATGTCCGTTTTGTTCGTCGATGTTTTTCCAATGGCGGTGAAGTGTTGCTTCGATTTTCATCCCATTCAACCGATAGCCGTTTATGTGGTCGCGATTTTTTAATTGATGGCGTTTCAGCTCGACTATGTTCGGACGGTTGTTGTGGACTATCTGAACGGGATTTTTTCGATTCCGTATTGAATTCATGTTCGCCATTTACTTCAGTTAGGCCACGTATTTTTAACATTTCAGCGACACGTAATAATGGACCAATTTCGGCTTGGCTCACCTTGATTTCACCTTTGTACATAAATTCAACGATTGCTTTCAATTCAGTCCATTTGACATCGCGCATTATAATTATTGGATGTTGACACGGATTGTCAAAAAATAAGCTTTGAAAATACGGTGAACATGCCGATAGTACCATTTTATGGGCTTTTATGGATTGGCCATCACATGCCAGTGTTACATCAACAAATGATTCATTTTGTAGCAATTGATCGAATACATTTGTTAAATTTCGTCCATAATTATTCCAACGAAGACAAAATTGTTGGTGGGCCGAATTCACAGTGATTTTATCGCAAATATTATCAGCATCAATGTCAATGGTAGGTGTTGATACTAAAAAGTAGCAAAACATGCATTTTGTTTACATTCAGCCAAAGGTCAAAATGTGTAACAGTCAATGATCAATTGAGCCAGAATAGCAAAAAACAAAATAAACCAACACACAGTTTATGGTTATTTGGTTTTTTTTTTATTTGGCCAAATAGATCATGCACATTCATTAAACAAATTGTCTTTTATTTTGCTAAACACAATTGGATCCTTACGATTTGCAGAAAATGGTTCATCATCTTGATAGACATCGGTTGATTTAGCGGCAAGTGATTGAAAATCGGTTGGTGAATCGCAGACAAGCTCAGACGATTTGCGATGAATTGATGAGTCCGATGAGTTGTGCTTGATTTGTGGTGACTGATGTCGACTCGTTGATCGCAACGGCGGCGATGGTGAAGCGACCGGTGTCGTTTTTGACATAATTCTATTGTGTGTATTAAATCCGCTCCTATATTATTTTATCTGAATTGTTATTCTGTGGGTGGGAAAATGTGCTTCTTATTTGCGATCAAACTTGGCATCACCTGAAATTTCGTGATATTATTCACCGATACGTATATGCGTTCAATTTTTCGCTGATGTTTTTTTTTCTGTTTATCTTTTTATATTTTAGCTATCTCGACCAAGTGGTATGTTAAAGCGGATCATAAAATTTGCGAAGTAAAACGGTGTCATTCAATTTGAAGTTGATGGTTAATTTGGTTCGATGCAGAGAATGAATGGCAGCCTGAGTGGCTAAAAGAAAGTAAAATTTTTTATCTGGTCGTGTTATATTGGTGTTGGGTAACTTTTAACAAGAGCACAATGTGGTTCATGAATCCTGGCATGAAAAGTCAGTCGGCTTATATTTTTTTCTTGCACTCTCTCTCTTCCTTCCTCACACTCAGCTCTGTTTTAACAAGTGTGGAGTGGCTATTGTTGTTGTTATTCAAGCGATTGCATTCAATGGGCCCGAAATGCACTTGTTATGCGCGTATATTTGGGTGACGTTGGGTTATATCTAAAAACGGCTGAAATGCACCATCACACACAATGTATATGTCGAAAGTGAACGGGAACGCATCGAGCTTAAGCAGCGAATATATCAAATGGCATCGATTACAGAGAGAAATATCACCCTTTTTGAAATTTTATGTATTTTAGTAGGTGCATTAAGTTGCACACTGTGCACTTTTCTTCCTGTTAGCCCGTGTCGTATGTGTGAATATGTGTGTGCACATGTGTGTGTGCACAATCTATGCTCGGTTTGGTTGCTTGTTTGCTTTGTATGTTTTATCGCGTTTTCAGCATGCACAGGAATCTATCGCTCTCTTCAATCACTAATACAAGCAACAACACATCAACTGAAAACAGCTATAAATGTTTTTATCGCTTTTTCGTCGGTTTTTGCATTCTTGCCGCGGTCTTTTTTTTTTCTCTCGATTCTCTGCCTGTTGTTGATATTTTTTGTTTGTAATTTGGGCTTCGAGTATCCACTCGATAACCTGATGGAGTTCGTATTTTGCCTATTCTAAAATCAATAACGCACAATCATCCATAAAACACAAAACACCACAGGCATGTGATAAAGGATCGTTATATATACCAAAAAATATGTGTTTGTACGCACATTACAATGCACTTGCACACACTGTTGGTTTGTTGCCGAAATAATTTTTTTTAAATAACTCTATTCAAACTTGCTCGTACGTACAACTTTTCGTTTTTTTTTATCCACTTTTTTACTTTTACCACCATTGGCTATCACACGACAGGATGCGTGCTGCAGTTGCAGTTGCAGCGGTTGATTTGGCGATTGTCTATTGATATGAAAACTGACGGAATCTGCTTTTGTAATAGGTTTAAAAATGTGTCCTGTTCATTCAGATACTTAGTGTGCGTGTGTATTAAATAACAAACGAAGAAAGAACCGCTTCACGACACTCGAACGAATTTTTCTTAATCTTTTTTTTTTTGAAAGATAAGATTTGAAAAATAAAAAGAAAGTCCAAGTTAAGCCTCGAAAAAAAATATTTTTTTTTTAAATTGTTACCGAATAGAAAAGAAAACAAAAAACTGAACGACAAACCGAACCGATGTGTATATGATTGAAAACACAAAAACCGTTACGACGGACGATGAAAATAAATATTTCTACACTTTTACACAACACGACGTCTCGATTTAAACTGATATTAGATTTCTTTCCATTAGAGCTCTCAACCATTTAAAAAGCACACAAACACCGAATAATATATACACATATACATTTAAGTCTCTCACACTCTTCTTAGGCGCTCTCACCAAACAAAACGACTACGAGCAGCCAACAACAAATATCCATTTTAGAATAATTCCGAAACGATATAAAGCAGCAGCAGCAGCAACGGCAATACAACGACGGCAAAAGTAACAAAAACAACAACGTTCGTCGTGCATGAAGCCCCGAGAACCAGAGCATTGGTAGAGACAACGAATGAATGATTGAACGGAAAAAATGCACACCGTTTCTCTATTGTGAATAGAACAGAGCCGAATCGAACGGAGGAGCACATAGCATGTATATCAGAGATGGAAAGTGTGGATCAGTGTTTTTTTATCAATTTTGTTCATTTGCAATCACCGTTTTTTTACTCTCTCTCTCTCTCTCAATAGAATTTAATGTATTTTCTTAAATATTTTCGATTTTGAATGCTAAATGTATGTGGAATTTGAATTTTGTTTGATTTTCTCGGAATTGGCGCCCACCTCTGGTGCATACGATATGTGTTAGTGTGCAAAAACATGAGCAAGAGTAAAAAGCGATTGACGTTCAACGTATAAGCAAGCAATATCGTATCGCCAGCAGAAAATAGCAAAAACAAAAAGTATTACTTCTCTAGACTAATGTCTCTCCTCATTCTTTCGTTGTCTCTTTCGCTCGTTTTGCATTCGGCGAAAGTATACGGACTCATTGCTGACGGTTAAGCATCGAATAAGCCTCGGTCTATGTGCATACATATGTGTGTATACACGTCGTGGTCGCCACCACCGCTGTCGTCGTCGCTGTCGCCGCCACCATCATCGTCGTCGTTTTCGACGTCGTCATCGTCAACATCGTCCTCATCGTCGTAGTCATTCCTGTATGTTTCTATCACTTTTCCATCGTATGCTCGCTATCCCGTGCTACACAGGCACACTCAACTCGTTTGCCATTAAATATTCGCATTCCGTACAAAAATATCTCCAGCAAAACGACCATATGAGCGCCGAACCGTCCGACAAAGATCCACACTGCCATTGTATAGAAAATGTGGAAAAGCGAATTGACTAGAAAATGTGAATGTGAATGCAACAACAACAGCAGCATAAGCAGCAGCAATAGATGCAGAAGCATCATCATTGTGGCTAATAGCAGTAGCAGTAGTCGAGATGTATTGAATTGGGAAAATCATATTGAAAGGGTCCGGCCAAGTCGCATGAACTCAGCAAGTTTATGATTACTGTTATTATTGCCGCCACCTCATCATCCGTCTAAAGTTCTACTATTCAGCAGAAAAATCCCTATCCTATGCTCTCGATCTTCATTCGTATGAACTCGTGCAAGGCACAAATAAAACCAATCCAACGCACTTCACATGTGTTTTTCTCGCAAATGCACACACACACACACACCAACACATTCATCATTGTTCGTTGCATCTCACTCATTCAAAAGTATATAAACATAGAACATGCATAGGCCAACGTATACAGTATGCCAAAATGTGGTGTGCTTTTACTAATGGAGAAGCTCAACGGAAGAAAAGAAGGTTGAAAACAATCGCAAAAACGCATTGAGACGGTGTTAAATATCACATTAGCATTTGTTTGGTTGATACGGCTTTTGCAGTACACATTGATGCCATACACACAATCACACGCATCACACACAGCATGTATAACTTTTTCCATCATTGATGATAAAAAAAAAAATGAACTGGAAAAGTGCTCGCCTGCCCATCCACCTCCATTTCTCTTTCGCTCGTTCAGTTTTATATCATTTCGGGATATATATTTGAGTCTCGTTCTTTAACAATTCTGAATACACCGAATACCTAAGTACACACAGCACATCGTATGCACAAAATGATTATCCCGTTTATTTTCCAACATTTTCGTTTGAATTCATTTGCAGAGGTTGCAGCATTCGAAGGCTTTTTCGTATATGGTTCGTGGCACCTCAACTCAGTTAAGTTTGTGTTGCATTAACTATTCGGCCAGCACTCAGCTGCACACATTGCTTCTTCTTCTTTTTTCGGTTGGATATTTCGGCTTTGCTTACGCATAAACATTTCATGTATTCATTCTCACTCTTTCACTCTCCGAGCTCTCTCTCTCTCTCTCTCTCTGCATCTCTCCTATTTCAAATGCGTTCTTCAATTTTTCACTAGCAACAGTTCGATGCTGAACGTACTTATTTGATATGTCCCTTCGGGTTACTGTATTTTATAGGCTTTTTGGAAAATGTTTATTGATTTCCGACTTAATGTTTTCATCAACAGAAAAAAAAGTGAACGATGGCTTTTAGATTATCTTTCGAAGCATTTGAAATTCACTTGTGCAATCCTTTAGATTTATGTTTCGGCTTGCTCCTGCAACACATCCTGCATAAAATGTGATGGCAAATTGCAATTTCATGAGAGCTTCATCGAAGTCAACATTAGAAAGATGAGACTTGATGGTTTTATTTTTCTTCTTTCTCTTCTATATGATACATACCTGGTTGTTTGTTATCCGACCCAGTTTTATTGATGAACATCATTAGTTCATGAAGAAAACGGAGTCATTTTTCCACGTGTAAATCATACAATTTCTTTCACAATTCCGAATTCACGAATGCAAGTTGATAGGTAAGTTCTGTTGAATGAGAAATCAGATCTCTTTCTGTCATTAGCAGAAGTGGTGAGCAAAGTATCAAAGGCTTTAGATTGGAATGTTTCATGTGAAATATGAGAGGAAGGAGTCACACAGACACAGACACACACACACACACAGAGAGAGAGAGAGTGAACAAAAAAAATTGAGCATCGAATGCAATGTTAAACTGCAGCGTTATATGCATTTGAGATGCTGGTTACTATCTTCCTCATGCATTCATAATGTGATTTTGTATCCGGACTATTAATATGCGGTGGATCTCTTATTTCCATTAAGTTGAGAAAAAAATCATTCAGAAACATGTATCGTTTATAGTGAGTGAGCGCGCGAACGTATCAATATCCAAATATTTCAGATTTCGTTGTATTCGGCTCTTTTCATTTCTCATTGTTTAGTATGTTGTTGTTGTTGTTGTTGTTGATGTGGGAGGATGGTGGTGAGGGTGGTGGTTCTGCTACAGCTTTATTTGGCTATCCTTTCGTTATGATTTATTTTGTTTTTCTTGTGTTTTACATATCGTTTACCTCCTCTAATTTTAATGTCCATCGCAGGCGTGACATTGAATGAGCAAGTAAAAGAGCGAGAAAAATGTTGTACGGCTGTGCTATCAGTAAGAATTAACTTGAATGCATCAGACGCACGATGAACAAGAAAACACATCCGTTTTTCTATTGTTACCAATGTGTATCTGACTCTCCTAAACAGATATATGATTATACCGAGCGCATTGAACGGAGAGATATTCTTTAGCAGTGTATTTGGCTGTCTTTGTCTATGCACCGTAGAACGTTTGAAGGGGACCAATTTATGTTGGTCGATTTTTTTTCACGGGAACGAAATCTGTGTGTATTTTTGCTCATGTCGCGTTATCGTTTGCTTGCTTTTGACGTTTTGTTGTTTTTCCCATTTACATTGAGGGCTGCTGTTGTTGGTTTTCTCGGCCGTTAAAACTTTCGTTTTTTTTTTTTGCTCCATCTCTCTCTCTCTCTGATTTGAATCCCAACACACATGTACACATTCAGTACGAATAAAACGAGAAACGAAAAAAAAGATCATCGACACAACAAACGTGGCCAGCAGTGGCTGAAGTAAAATGTAAATACGATATAAACCGTTCCACCAACCTCAATTTATTCAACACGCTTGAGTTAAACCGTCATTGAAAGAAAGAGAGAGAGGGAGGTGGGAGTGAAACGAGAGAAAAATTAAAAAAGGGTACCAAAAAATTGTTTACGCGCTCACCATTCAAATGATTTATTATTAAGTTTTCATCTTTTCAAAATCGCGTTCGCGCCATTCATTTTGTCTTTGTACCAAACTCTTCCATACATGCCAAGTAATTAATAACAGAGAAACGAAAAAAAATGAATTATAAAGCAAAATGGAGAAATTACGTCGTTTTTTTTGTTCATTCCAACCAAAATACAGATATGGTATTAAATTAGAAACAGACACTCGCATTTACCATTCCACCCGACATGGGAATCAAATCAGTGGCGAATTTTATATTTAAATCAATTTTTTATGCATATATTTTTTTTTTAGAAAAGTGGATTTTCAGTGTATGGGTAATGGAACAAATTATTCGAATATGGCTAGAGTTACTTTTAAATGGATGCGCTTAAAACTTATGAGTAGTGCGTCGTCGTATTCGGTAAAGGTGTCTATTTTTTGCAGCACAAGTAAGCGTAATGAGAAAAAAGGTGATTGAAATCGTTTCCACCTCATCGCCGTCACATCACAACTGAAACACCATCACACCGAATGCAATAAATTTTGTGGTGTACTTTAATTTATAGAAAAGTCAGTTTGTAAAAAGATTTGTCATTTTAAGAAGTAGACTCTGTAGAGACGGTCATTAATCTCCCAACCTTTTCGATGCGAATTTCTATGATTTGTTCTTTCTCATTTTTTTGCTGCTATTGTTGTTTGAAACGAGACAGAGAGAACGAATACAACATACGTTTGGTACAATTGTGCGCAAATCAGGGAGAAGGAAAAAAAAGAATGTTGAACAAGAGAGAAAATATCAAAACATATAAATACGCTCACGAAAAAAAGAGCACGCTTAAATAGAATTGCGTCTGAATAATTCATGTGTTATGAGTCTGGTATTGTTGCTGCTGATGTTGTTGCCTGCGTATGGACGATGCAGTTAGGTGTGGATATCAAATTCACATTCACGCATCCATTGTAATATGCAAATAAAGTCGAAATGTACGCGGCCACACCAAAACCCACTTTGCATCGTCTTTTTTGCTTTAATTCAGGTGTTTTT